GTGGCCAGCCGTGTACACGCATGACGATGGATGACATATGTACACATATACATGCATACACATATGCTGTATTGCACTTTATTTGCAGTCCCTCACTTGTTTGCTTGTCTCCCTGCTGTGTGCGTGTGCCTTTGCATCTATTTGCACAGGACAGAGCACTTTAAAGTTCACTACACCATAGCATTCATTCCTTCCTGCCTGGGTGTTATTGGCATGCAACAATGCACCTAATACCCAGGACATACACTTGGACCTGCAACCAGCACACACGCGCTTCGGGCATGTGGGACAACAAATTCGAAGTAGGTATGGAGGATCGCGCACATGCATGGGGGCGTGCATGCACTAATGAAGGCAGTGAGATGCCTGCGGTTCACCGTAGAATGCTTCCAAACGTGCGAGTCACTGCTGCACCAGCCGAGAATCGAACTCGGGTCTGGTCCGTGGCAAGGACCTATGCTACCACTATACCACTGGTGCTCTATAAGACACGGAAACTGCTCGAGTCAACACCACTGCACACAACTATATCAAGAGTTACACACATGCAGACATACAATGTGCACAGAATCACGTGTTCTATATACCTAGGTATATGGGTATGCCTCTCTGGTGCCCGTAATAGGTTTGTCTGAGGGAGCACCAGTGGTGTCGTGGTTGCATATATGGGTCCTTTGCCGCAGACTAGACTCGAGTTTATCCTCAACTGGTGCACAAAAACATGCATGTTTTGTAGCATTGTACGGTGGGCCGCTGGCTTCTCAGCATTGCCTTGATTATTGGATGTGCTCTATCCACCTAGTTTGTTGTTCCATATGCCTGAAGCACATGTGTGTTGGTAGCAGGTCCAGGTGCATGTCCGAGGTAATGTGTGCTTTGCCACATGCCAATAACACCCAGGCAGGAAGGGATGAATGCTCTGGCATATTGAACTGTAAAGTGCTCTGTCCTGCGCCACAATAGACGCAAAGACATGAGTACACAGCAGGGAGATGGGTGAATGAGTGAAGATTACCAACCTGTATTAGGGCATGGTTAGCACCCATAAATATTGAGAATAAGATCCTTGCCCCAACAACCGCCCAGCCATGCCTAAATACCTGTGTGCCCAGCAAAACATGCCCATGGCCCCATGCATGCCTAGGTGATGTACACGTGATTGTGGGATGGGCTGTGCCCACTCACTCCTCACATGCCTAGCAGCCAGAATGAGGTGTTGGGTGTTTTTCATGTGCTATGGCAGTGGTCGTGTGGCTTAATGGATAATTATAAGGCATCGTCCTCCAGTTTTATGTCCAGGATGGAGATTGTGGGTTTCAGTCCCTAACTTCCCCCATGTTTTGGTGAACCCTCATCCATTGCATCCACGCCAGCTTCTGCAAAGTCAGTGGCTTTGCGGGATTGGGCGGCCACCATCAGAATCCAATAGAATCTGCCAGATCAACCACAAGCATCAAGTCTACTCCTTACCGGCTCCACAGATCACTCACTATAACCAGATGCAGCTGCTGTGGGTGGGAGGCCCGAAGCTGGTGGTCTACTGGCCATGGGGAGCATGCCTGTGAGGAGGGAGTCACAGCAGTGTGAAGGAGTGTGAAGTCCGTGTGAAGTCGGTGTCCCCACAAAACCCTAAAACCCTAATTGCATGTAGTACATAAGAGTGCCACAGCCGGTTTGCACAGTCTCAGGACCCTCGCCCGCTTACCAGCATATGCAAGCAACACTTGATGGCACTGAATGCGTGCCTAGGCATGAAGGACCACTAAGGCATGGAAATCCTTGTACATTCTTTCTTCCCTAAAATAGTGAATCCCTGTCGACTACCTATACGTGCCAACCTCGTACATATAATGTAGTACATACAAGGTTAACATAACATATATATAGATAGATGTATATATATATACATAACATACTAACATAAATAACAGTACTCATGGGTATGGGTAGGTGGGCAAACAGAGTGGTGGAAGTTGTGTGCAGCACCAATCCCAATGGCATTGTGATGTGTTAATGTTAACTTACATCTGGACATTTTCTGCCCGGTTTGCTCAGTCGGTAGAGCGCAAGGCTCTTAACCTTGTGGTCGTGAGTTCGAGCCCCACATTGGGCGAGAATGTCCCGTATGTGTGTGAAAGGGACATCAGTTGACCAGTGCCCTGCACCTAATGTAACTATTATGCAGGCTTAGACATTCATTCATTCCTGACCCCCTTCTCATAATATGTCCTCGTCATGGTGCTGAATTTCTGACTTGTATTCCTGCTGGATGGGATGGGATATGATGGGATGCCTGATTCCAGAATTGCGAATTAGCCCACAGCTACTTGCATTATAATTATCAGTCCATCCATGCTTTATCAGTATGCGAAAACCCAAACTCTATAACACCCTTTTGCCTGCTCTATCTCTTGTTTTTATGGCACCGGAGAGTTTGCCAGCTTTTTCCTATAGCTAGGCCAACACGATTAGCAAAAGCCTCAGGTGGGGACCCTGGATCCAGCTAGCATGACTGCACCTACCCATCCATCCTAACACCCTATAGCTAAACACCCTAAACACCCTAACACCCTAAAAACACGAGAAGAACAAGTGTAGGTAGGAGTACACATCAACCAAGCCGGGATCCGATCTGCCTGGATCGAACAGGCGACCTAAGGATATCAGCATCGCATCTTTCGATTACAGTCCTTCGCTCTTCCAGCTGAGCTAAGATCGGGAGCATGGTGCTCAACGCGTATCGAGACCAGGTTTCGATCCTGGGACCTCGGGGTTATGAGCCCCGCACGCTTCCGCTGCGCCATCTCGATTCTCATGTGCACACCTACCTTCAACTCTCCCCAGAACTCGTGGATCGTGGATGCCCGACAAGCAGCTCCAACCAAACCGAGTAGAGCCTTTGCCCTAAGGATGAACCTATGGCTAGGGTTGGCCGGAAGTTTAGATTTAGAAATTAATTTAGATGCCATCTAATTAGATTTCTATATAGATTTTAGATGAGCCTATCTAAACCGTTTAGATGGCATCTAAACGTATCTAGTCCATCTAATGCCTATCTAAAGGCCGGTGACCGGATCCAGACCGTTTAAACGTGAGTCATGGCACGCGAAACAGGTATGTCGAAGGTAACTTTAGTGTCATATCCTTGCTCCGCTCTATTACATACACAAATAGATGTAGAAATACACAATGGCAGAACCAGGACCCCAAAAGCCGATCACATACAAATACAACCACCAGACTTTCGACGCGCCACAGTACGCAGCAAAGCTCTGCGAAGCCAAGCGCAGCATCAAAGCCACAGCGTACTGGTCCATCTTCGACGTGTTGCTCGTAAAAGGCGTTGTGAACCTCGTCTGCACCGTTTGCAACAAGTCCTATAGCGCGAAGAACCCGTCAGCTGTCTGCCCGGATCACTATGCGAAGCACCAGAAGGACGTCGCCAGCGCGGTCGGAAGCGAGCAGTCCGGGGCGCCCACAACCAACAGCACGAAGCGCTCGCGCGCGGAGGAGGGGCCAGTTCGGACCTTCTTCCTCGCTGCAGTGCAAATCGCCACCCCCTGGCGCTATCCGACACGCGTCTGTAGAGTGCCCATAGGGGTTCGCCGTGTTCCCAGTGTCGAGCGGCCCAAAAAATTATTGGAAAATCCAGGAAAAGATAAAGCCGCATCGTGTGCAAAATTTCAGGTCAAAATTCCACCGTTTAGGCAGTTTTCCGTTTGCCCATCTAAAGATTTACCTAATTAGATTAGGTATCTAATTAGATTTCTAATTAGATGCTTTTTCCATCTAAAGATTTTGCCAACCCTACCTATGGCATAATGTAACAATAATAATGGCCATGAATATCGCCCAACATGCAATAAGGGATGAAAGTGTCGAGGACAGCTAATTATCTTCAGAATTGTGTTATGTTATATATGTGTATGCAGCCCCTATCTAGAGATGTGTAGAGTTTTTGAATCCCTATATGTATTGCCTGTCTGTTCTGAAACCGACTTTGAGCATGTGATTTTGTCGTTGTCTACCATCCCTTC